TTTTTACATAAATTTTCATGTATTCTATTATTACGCAACTCATTTCACGCGCATAAATCAAATAAATTAATAAAAAAAGCTAATAGTTCACTCAAAATTGAATTTTTCTATGGTGGGTACCGGGGTAACCGGGTGCGTCCGCGGCATATGTATACTTTAAACTAGATTATTTGTGCTTAAAAAACTTCTTAAAAATCTCCAAATGCACCATTTGCTTAAAAATGAGTTAAATAACGACGATCCGGGCGTACAAAGCAAAATTTTCATTTTTAACCCACTTACATGCAAAAATCAGCAGTGGTGGGCACCCGGGTAACCGGGTGCGCACACAAGGGTTAACACACTCGCAAATTAGTCGTACGTCGGTCCGTTACCAGCCGTTAAATATTACTCGCCAGATAGTATGTCTAGCGAAGAACGCGAACGTTTTTTGTTGTGGCACGCGGAACAGATGCGCGAAAACGCAGGTTTTGACTTTCAACGCGAGATAGTTCGTTATTGTCGTAACGACGTTGATATCTTGCGGCGAGCGTGCATGGCTTTCCGCAAGATATTTCTCGAGCGCGAAAACGTATGTCCGTTCGAAGAATGCACGACCATCGCTTCCACATGTATGCGCGTTTCCCGCAAAAACTTTTTACGTGAGGAAGAGATCGGCGTCATTCCTTGCGGCGGATATTGCCTCGCGGATACGCAATCCCGCAAAGCTCTGCAGTGGCTGGTGTGGAAGGAGCGCGAGCTTGGCCGCATCATTGTTCACGCGGGTCACGGGCGAGAACATCGTCTCGCGGAAGTCGGAGGCATTCCCGTCGACGGGTATTACGAGACGGCGAACGGTGAGCGTCACGTGTTGCAATACCACGGCTGCTTTTGGCACGAGTGTCCCGTGTGTTTTAAAACGGAACGCGACAAACGTCTCTGCACGGGGGAACGCGAAGTGTACGACACGATGAACTTGCGATACGAGCGTACACTGACAACGTCATGGCGTCTTCGCAAACGAAGGTACATCGTGACGGAGAAATGGGAGTGCGCTTTTGATCGCGATACGCGGGAAAATCGCGAAATGCGAGCGTTTTTAGACCAACATCCGATGCTCGCGGCTGAACCGCTTTTACCGCGTGACGCGTTTTTCTGCGGTCGAACGGGAAACATCGCAATTCGGCGCGAAGTTACGGGTATGGAGAAAATACGTTACGTAGACGTGTGTTCTCTATACCTTTACGTGTTGAAAACCGGCGCTTTCCCGATTGGACATCCGAAAATTTTTGTCGGACAAAAAGAGTGCGCCTCGCTTATCGGAGCGATGCCCGGTGTCGATTTTTCCGCGGTCGAGGGGCTTGTGCGTTGTAGAGTGCTTCCTCCGCGCAATCTCTTTCACCCTGTACTCCCGTACCGCGTGCAGGGCAAACTACTGTTTGTCTTGTGTCGCAGTTGCTGCGAAAACTTCTAGCAGACACAGTGCTCGCACGAAAATCCGCGCGATCGTGAATTCGAAAACGTGTGGGTATCGTGCGAATTACGCAAAGCTGTGGAGAAGGGTTATCTCGTGACTGCAGTGAGCGAGATATGGAAATACGATACGAGCCGATACGACGCTGATACGCGTCAGGGGGGATTATTTGCCGAATACATAAACTGTTTTCTGAAATTAAAGCAAAAGGCGAGCGGATGGCCGAGCGAATGCGTGGACGACCAATCTAAAGAACGATATCTTCGAGAATACGAAACAGTCGAGGATATCGCTCTAGATAGAGCAAACATTGCGCAAAATCCGGGTTTACGCTCGGTCGCAAAGCTGTGCCTCAATTCGTTTTGGGGAAAATTCGGGCAACGATCGAACTTGCCGAGTACCGAGGTGGTAAAGTTGCAAGAACGTCTCGTATCGCTATTGTCAAGCCCCGAGCACGAGGTAACCGATATATTACCTGTGAATGACGAGGTAATATATGTTTTGTGGCAAATGCGGGACGAGGCGGTCATACCCTCTTCGATTACCAACGTGATAATAGCGGCGTACACGACGGCACAGGCGCGATTGAAACTGTACGAATATTTAGAACGTTTAGGCGAGCGTGTTCTTTATTACAATACAGATTCGTGTATTTATGTGAGCAGCGGAGAACCCGGCGAATACGAACCGCGTACGGGAAATTTCCTGGGCAATATGACGGACGAGCTTGAAGGCTACGGCCGTGGTAGTTACATCGAGTCGTTTGTATCCGGTGGCCCGAAATTTCACGCGTACGTAGTTCGTACTCTGGACGGTGGCGCGCGGGAGGTGTGTAAAATCAAGGGAATAACTCTAAATTCCGCAACCTCCCGCATAATTAATTTCAATAGCGTTAGGGAATTGTTAATGAGAAGAGAAAGAAAAGTAGAAAATGTGTCGATAAATCTGCATTTTAGAGCGATTTGTCGCACCGCGTTTCACGAAGTTGTGACGCGGGACGAATCAAAAATCTGCTCGCCGGTTTTGCTGAAGCGTAGATTTATCGACGAGCGACGCTCCGTTCCATACGGCTACTTAGAATAAGACTTTTTTCCGCGCATTCTCTTGTAAATAGTTTG